GGTGTGGGTGTGGGTGTGGGTGTGGGGTGTGGGTGTGGATGTGGGTGTAGGTGTGGGTGTGGGTGGGTGGGTGGGTGTGAGTGTGGGTGTGGGTGTGGGTGTGGGTGTGGGTGTGGGTGTGAGTGTGGGTGTGTGGGTGGAGTGTATGATTCATTTGATATTCCTACCCACACCCATACCCATCCAAATCCACACCCACACACACCCACACCCACACCAGACACTCACACCCACACCCACCCATACCCACACCCATACCCCACCATTAACGTCGATATGGAAAAATATTAGGAGGCAATTGTAAAACAGCATTGCCAATGTCATTGAATGTTTGTAATTCATTGAAATTTTTTCTGTTTATTGGATCATCAACAATAAATGTTTGTCTAAGATCATTACATAAAATTTTGACACGTAAATTGCCAGCAAATGGATCATAAAGAAAACATAACTTTTTTATAATCAAGAGCTTTTTCAATTGATTCATATAATAATAAGCCATTTCGTTCATTATTGACATCGTATTCATTTAATTTAAATTCATCTAATCCTACACCTTTTGTAGCTGCTTTCCATATATTTGAAGCACGTACAAAATTTCGGTCAAAGTATTTGTTTAAGATCATACATTTAATTATTCTCATCTTGGGTGAACCACAATTATAATACGTAATTAATTTATTTTTAAAATCATCTTGTTCTTCTTTTGTTCTGGTTGAACTTATATCCCAACAATCTAATTCATTTTTAAGACGATCTTTATTTTGTTGTAAAAGATAATCAACCTTCAATGATAATTTTTGTATTTCTTCAGTTAATTTTGAATCAGTTTCTTGTTTTTTATAAATTTCCAAAAACATTGTACTTTGATCTCGTAATTTATTTGCTGATGCAATATAATAATTAAGTAAATCGTTGTTGGTACATATTTTCATTTCCTTTTCGTAATCCTTAATAGCTGCATCACATTTTTCCATATCATGTTTTATTTGATCATAATTAATCGAAGATGTTTTTTTTTTCTTCATGTGAAATTTTTTCTGATGATGTTGTAGAAGTTAAACTCATTTCAGTTGATTTGGAAGTATTTAAAGATTTTTTTTGGAGTAGATGTTCTTGTGTCTTCATGTACTTCTTTCTTTCTCGTTGATGTTTTCCATTCATTAAGAATTTCTTTAGCTGTATCATTTTTAAAAGCATTTACTGTTTGATGGATATCAAAATTAAAATGAACTAAAACTACACACTAAGTAAAAATGTGTCGTGTTTATATGTCGTGAAATATTGTGTCGCACACTCCAGCAGAAAAATGTGTTGTGCTTAGAATGTGTCGTATACGAATTTGTCACGTTCTGTCTGCTGACTATTCGTTCACCCTTTTATTATGTACACATGGTCATATATAAACAACGTGGTTTAACATACAAAAAAAAAATTTCAAATTATTTTTATTTTCTAGATTATTTCTCGATTATTTTTTTTATCGAGAAAATGCCAATCTCGATCTATGATCGTGAGAGGACTACTCTGAAGTGGACTGATACAAATCAGATCAACTCGAGATTTGACAGATCCCAGGATCTGACCAGCTTGAGTTTTTAGAATAGGAATAATTAAATGGAATTAAATTGAAAAAAAAACATCGAAATATGATTTTCCAAAAGGACCAATAGAAAATGTGTCGCATGTGTCGTGGCCCTGCTGGAGAAAATGTGTCGCAGTGAGCTCCTTGTGTCGCACTTTAATGTGTCGTACAATGTGTCGCAAAACACGACACTTGCGACACATTTTAACTTAGTGTGTAGTTCAAGATCATTTTGTCCTGGTCTAATATCAAATTTAATTTTATTCAGTTTGAACCTTTCTAAACTTCTTAGAATTCTTTTCAGATGATGATTCAGCCAGTTTTTGAATATACAGATCAAAATAAAGAAACATTTATCTTTGAAAAATGCGAAATTTACCACGAAAAATTGACCAAAATCTTTTTCGATTTTAGCTGTAAATAAGTAAAGTAAATAGACTATTGTTGTTGATCTCTATAAATATGTCCATCAATGGTCAAGATGCTCGAAAGACGTCTCCTGCGTATACCATTTGTTGAAACCTTTCTAAATGTTTGATCGTAAGTAAACGAAATAGAGTAGATTGGGGCTATTATGAACGTTTTTTTAAAAGTTGAAATTAAAAATTGAATAACTTTTTTAAAAAGTCAAAGAATTACCAAGCAACATAAGAAATGAAATACAAGCGAAATCGTAATTAGAGTTCTCGCATCAAACCAATGAAACACATATAAATATAAGAAAAATCTTTTGGATGAAGGCGCCAACAATTAAGATTAGCAAAAAGCAGAAATTCATAAGAAGCTAACTGATATGATCTGCGTGTATGGCGGAGCAGTGAGTGAAAAAATGTGCACCTGCTGGTTGATGAAACACGCATGAACAGTACAATAAATTGGGAAGAGAGAAACAAAAATAAGGAAGAGGCTAGATGTGCCTCGAGTGTGTTACTATGGATGTGTGGCGAACAAAACACTCACATCGGCACTATTCTATGTCAATATATTCACCTAGAATTCGAACGAATATTTTCTGACTTTTTATTTTTGAGATAATTACGACAGAAAATGACAATTTTCGATGCATATGGCCTAGCAAATGAAAAGCAATGTTGGGCAAATATTAATGTCTTTCGTTAACGTGCTCACTATCTGCAAATTGACAAACAGAAAGAACTAGAAGAGAAAATGTTTTTTTTTATTTTATAACTGAAATCAGAAGACATTACCTCCTAGCACAAAAAACAGTGCGTTTGTAGACTCCTAACTCCAATTTATGCATATAAAGGAATAGTTCAGCTTAGATATGCATTAATTCAAACACACAGTCCATTCCAATTTCTACAATTAACTAGAACCGGAATTGATGCAAATCTAATTAGGTTCAAAACCAATGCAAAATGTTACTCAGAACTGGAAACTAGAATTGAAAATAAGCAGTTTCACATGTTCCTAGGATTCATTTTTGATCTAATATATGTTTCATGACTGATAACAAAATATTAATACTCTTTAATTATTCACAAAGATAGTTTTATACATATGGGACAAGTACATTTTGCGTTGGTCCTTTGTTTTTATCCATTGGTAATTTTACATTAGAACCTGTCGACTTAGAAATTTTTGGACCTGAACTCTGCTACTAATTTCAATGAATCTTTTAATCTCAATTTGATAACCGCTCCGAAGATGCAAGATACATTCTGCGATCACCATTATACAATTCTCATATAATGTCTAGAAGGATCTTATAATGATGAAGTCATAATCGATTCATACTTTTAGATAATAATCTGTTAGATGATAGGTCCTAGACTAAAACGAACTTGACAGGCTCTATAATGTTGAGTTTAGTCAATTGAAAGAGAAGTTGAACTATTCATGAAATAAGAGACAATTATTAAAATGAAATTTCATATAAAATGTAAGATACTTTTATTTTATACCAAGTGAAATCCAATTGATCAATTGATGACTATTCGAGAAATTTCATTCAAATTTTAGCTTAGCGAAGTATTTGTAGTAGCAGTTAGAATATTATTATTCTAATCAGTGAGGCGAAATAATATGCCAATGAATCATGCTGTTTTTATTTTTATTCTCTCTATCCAAAAAAAACCAACACCTGAAAACGAAAAAACAACAGAACTGATCTATTAGAAAAAGTGTTGTTTGTAATAAGGTGGTTTTCCACTCGGAGGTAAATCTTCTTTACGACGTTTCATTTTTTCATTTAATGGAATATAATCAGCAAGATCATATTTCCAATTTTCAGCAAGATATTTATATGGTGGCCAATTTCTAATATCACTCATTTCTTCATCACGTAATTTTTTATCAAGATGTAAGAACGACGTAATTCCATTCGATTCGGGGTGTGGGTGTGTGGGTGTGAGTGTGGGTGGGTGTGGGTGTGGGTGTGGGTGTGGGTGGGTGTTGGGTGTGGCTGTGGCTGTGGCTGTGATGTGTGGGGTGTGGGTGGGTGTGTGGGTGTGGGCGTGGATGTGGGTGTGTGGGTGGGTGTGGGTGTGGGTGGGTGTAGGTGTGGGTGTGAATATCAAATGAATAATACACCCCACCCACACACCCACACACCCACACCCACCCACACCCACACCCTCACCCACACCCACACTCCACCACACCCACACCCACACCCCACACCCCACACCCACACCCACACCCACACCCACCCACACCCAC